GGTAAGTAACCCCAATAACCCCCTTATTTACGCCACTGGACCTAACTTCAGATACTAATTTTCGTACGGCCGTTAACCCTACGACGATTGGGCCTGGGGAGGTGTTTTTAAAATACATGTATTTGAAAAAAAAATTGACATTTTTTTCTTGATCAATATTTACACTTTCAGTATAAATCTAGGGCCTACGGAAATTCAGTTGATCATATAATAAATTTAAATATGTTCACTAAAAGGAGATTGTGCCGTGTAGTTTACTTTATGTTTAACTTTACTAAATGAATAAGTGTGTTATCCCTCAAATTAACTGATTGAACTGCAATTATAGTTCATTTTCTGCTAGAATATCTAGCTAGCCCCCCCCCNGTTGGGCATTCCGCTGGTCTATGTATCCCCCCCCCTCAGAAATGTTGTTTGTTTGAAGATTATCGACCCCGGCCCCATCTGCCCCCTACAGGATCCACTATCTGTCCTCCACTGTAATACTTGTTACACATTTCCTGACCGTCATTGGTTAATTCCTCTGACGTAGTGATCTGTGATTGGTTCTTGTCTCCTCGGAGTAATATTGGATAATGCTCTTTTAGTTCAGGTTATAAACTCTAGGTGTCTCTATATTTAATCTTATTTCTAAACAATCTCAATATTCCTAAATTGTTAAACCGTACAATCAAAATTTTAGATTAACACAATAATGTTAATTGAATATGAAGAATAAAACTGGGTTTCTTCTGTAAAATTATTAAAGAATCATTTCTTTTTCTAAGAATTTTCATTCATATAAAAAAAAAAATCTGCTTAAGCTTGAAATTGAATTTCGCAATAATTGGTAATATATTGGAATCGGTAGTTTATTTGGGGGATGTTATCTCCTTAGATTAGTACATGTAAGCAGCTAGTGTTGTAATAGTTTACTAATATTATGGTAAACAGGAGACGAAGAACTTATAGATTACAGAGTCTTTGTAAGCGGCAACTGCATGCAAAAATTGTCACTATCTAGCCAATCTTCATCTTAAAATAATCTTATCATGTTATGATTCAGAGGCAAGTTCATAAAAAATGCTTATTTTTAAAGAATATTTCTAATTTTTTTCTGTTTTTAAAATTTGGGACAAATTGGTCACATTTTGTCAGGGAAATCCCACACCTTTTTATTTCCCTAAAATTATATTAAAAAGACAAAACAATAAAGGTTTTTAAAAAAAATCATGTAAAGGCGATTTCATGGGTGGGGGCTATGTGGACGAAATACCCCCCCCCCCCCTGGGCCAGTGAAATCTATTAATTTCAGGGGGTTTTCAGGACCAACTGGTGCTGAGTCCCCCCTTGGAAAGAAAAAAATTTAAGCCCCCCCTGGACAAATTCCTGAATACGCCCCTGATCAGCTTCATGGAATTGAAATTATAATTTTCACTTCTCATATAGAGGGAAAACTTTGCCCCAAGAGCCTTTCCCCTGTAACCGCCCCGGTAAATATATCCGTCAAATTATTTAAAAGAACAAAAAAATTAAGTTTTTTTTATAAATGTAAAATTATTTCTTACAGGAGTAACCAAAATTTACAAAATGGGGGGAAGGGGTACTCACGGTGGACTAGGATTAATTTGAACCGGACCCACCTCAGTTGACACGCAGCAAGTATACCGGCCTGACCCTTTCTTTTACAGTACCCGGCCTATGCTAGGCCTAGTTGACCTACCCCACCAGCTTAGTTTAGTGTGTAGCAACATTATCTAACAACTATTACACTTTTCCATGGATTGTGTTGGCATTATATTTAAATTGTGTGTGTATAACAGTATAAATGAAAGTAAAGGCATAAAAACCTGAATTTAAAGGATAATTTTATGCAAAGTGTTCTCTTCTAGTAATCCACAATAAATTATAGTTAGAACATTACATTAAAGGGAATGTAGACGTAGTTTCTTGATCATTAATAAAGGGACATATCCGATTTACAACTGCACCCACATGTAAACCTTAGTGTGAACAAAAATGTTCGAATCAAACTTGTTTTTCTCGCTGAAAATTGTATCATTTCAATTGTGATTTCTGTGTTGAAGTGATTTGCAGGTATTTGCAGCAGAAATTGATAGAATAAATATCTTAACAAGACCGAAAAAAACAACGATATATTTCGTCCGAAAAAGAGCGAAAGCGTACCGTATAGTAAATCGGATATGCAACTCTATAAACGTATTGTCCCTTGAAATTACGTGGATTGTCCCTTTCTTAATGTTCTTTAGATAATGTCTATCTAAAATTACAATACTGATTTGCATAATGAACATTACAGTCCTGGATTACAGGTGGTGGTCCATTAGGCAGGATTAGATTAGGATTATTGGAAGAGTATCGAGAGAAATATTATAGTAGATTTTGTACTAACAAGCTACAGAGCTATAGCGTAGCAATACTGCATGTTCTTCAGTTTCAGTAAATATAGATAGATACAATGTCCGTTAGTTTTTTTTGAGTTTATTTACTACTAAAATCTCAGGAAAAAAAGAAGACTAAAATTTATGACATTAAATCATCAAATTAACATGAGGCAAATAAAAACTATTTGCTTTTAAACATCAAATAGCACCTAAATTCCATATTCCTATTTAACAGTTTTCATGGTCACCATGTGTACATTGCAGGAAGTGTGTTTTAATATATTCCTATCACTTTTTGTAGAATTTTTTTTTGTAAGTAGAGGTCAAACTATTTTCGGTTAGTTTCGATGCATTACTAGGATTATTTTATTTTCAAGATTTGATCGACTTTGAAGTGTCGCAACTCCTTGGCCTGTAGTTTCACCTCAATAACTTTATCATAACTTATTATAGGCCTGTAAACATTTACACTATACATAATTGAACTACAAATTGAAAAAACGTTCCGCGAAGCTCTTATTTTTTCAAGATTAATTTTAAAATTAATTTTCAATTTTAGGAAGCCATTTTACCCCTGTGGTCCAATACGAGGATATTGTGAGCTTTAAGTTTTCTCAAGAATCTGACACGGAATGCAACGTTGAGGGGTTCTCAACAGCTTCAGTAAGTACATATGAGCTTTATCTTATATTTATTTCTCTTCTGTTTTCTTTTTTTTCTTCATTTTTTCATTTAATATTTATGGAATTTGTGCATTTTTAGTAGCATTAATGAGGATTTAGATTATACGTATTTAAATAAATTTCTGAACTTTTTTAAAGGGACTGTAGTCGTACTTTCAAGTGATCCCGTCTATTTTAAAAGGGCCATGTCCGGTTTGTGACGGTACGCTTTAATCCTTCACATAATTCACAATGTGGAATATATCGTCGTTTGTCTAGCTTGAAAAGTGTTTGATTCTGACGATTGAAGGTATATACCAGGAATCCACATATCTTTGTTTACAAAATAAGTGTACTTCAGTTTCTGGGTGGAATGTAAACACACTTAGTGCTGGTTATCTATATTCCTCCGAGATACTGCAGTACTGTTATTTTGTAAACAAGATATGGAGGTTCCTGGTGTATCTTTCTTAGTTATCTCTTACTTAAAGGGGCTGTGTAATATTAAACGAATGTAAAGTGGCATGTCTGATTTACAACAGTACTTTTTGAACCTTTCTTTGGTAAAGAACGAGTGAGATATCCATATTTAACTAGCTAAAAGTTATTTATTTTCTGTCGACCTAAATCTGTAAAAGTGACTTGTGGTTATGAAACGGTTGTAAATCGGACATGCAGAATTGTTTTATCGAATGGTACATAAAATGTCGTCCTTTAATTTCAGTTATCCTACGCATATTATGATTTTGGAACCAACTATTGCAACCTGAGGAATCTAATGGATGGTTCTGGAATATCTGAACAAGATGGATATACCGAGGAGACAAGTGTAGATGTTTGTATGCAGCTGGATACTGCAGATTGTACTAAATACTAGGTATATAAGCTCAATCCTAGAGAACGATTTCTATCAATTTTGTGCATGACCTAGTTTTCAACTGATTTAAACAAAATTAATATTTTATTTCATTATTTCCGGGTTATGCTGGAATAAGACAATTTTTTGGGCCGAGCGCTGCGGCTAGGCCAGACTTAGGAGGCCGAGCGCTGCAGCCCTCAATTTTAAATATTTTCAACAAAATAAGTAATTATTTTGTATTATTTTAGGGTTCATAATTAAATTTCATGCAAATTTTGATAAAGAGGGGGGGGGGAGGGGGTCCAGAAATCGTTCTTTATGAAATTACCCTACACTACTTTCTTAACTTTGAATACCATAAACAATTTCTTTTTAACTGATATATATTACCATGTATAGTTTTAACTGATATATATTTTACCATGTATATTTTTATCTGATATATATTTTACCATATAAATGTAGATTTTTAACTGATATTTTACCATAGAAATGTATATTTTTAACAGATACATATTTTACCATAAAAATGTATATTTTTAACTGATATATATTTTACCATATAAATGTATATTTTTATCTGATATATATTTTACCATACACATGTATATTTTTATCTGATATATATTTTACCATAGAAATGTATATTTTTAACTGATACATATTTTACCATATATATGTATATTTTTATCAGATATATATTTTACCATAGAAATGTAGATTTTTATCTGATATGTATTTTACCATAGAAATGTAGATTTATATCAGATATATATTTTACCATAAAAATGTATATTTTTATCTGATATGTATTTTACCATAGAAATGTAGATTTTTATCTGATATATATTTTTCCTTAGAAATGTATATTTTTATCTGATATATATTTTACATATAAATGTAGATTTTTTTACTAAATTAGGGCTCTTAGTTTAAAGCAATTCCCTTAAAATGTCTTCAGTTTGAAAAAAAGATTAATTTAGTGGATTTATTTAAAAAATTTTCTTTTCGATGATATAAAAAGTAGTTGACGTTTAATTATCATCATATGTCACACACCACATCTGATGAATCCCGAGAAGTAGTTGAACTACGTAGACTAAGTTCAGTATTGATAATATATATTTTGTTAATGCTATTTTTTATTTTAGGAAAGAAATCCCTCCGAATCAATACGACACGTATTGTTGACTTGAAAGAGGACAAGATTTTTCTATGTTTTACTTCATTGTGAAAACAAGATAAAGATATCATCATGAATAAATCGATTATCATAGTATTTGATTGTTGATTAGTCAGTAAATTAATTACATAATGTTTATATAAACTGATTTATAGTAAATCATATTAATTGATTAGTAAAAAAAGTCACTTTTATATGTATATTTTAGAAGTCCAAAGTCCTTTTTAGCTTTTTTTAGAAGTAATCGGAAAAATTCTCATATATTTACTACCTAAGAGCTTGCAACCATGGCAGTGGATGTCAACTAGGAGGAGTTTTCATGGGCATATTTATATACGCAGACGACATTATATTGCTTGCTCCTAGTAGAAACGGTTTACAAAATATGGTGAAGATATGTGAACAATTTGGAAACTTATTTTCAATGAAATTTAGTACTAACAATGTAGTTGAAAAGTCTAAGACTAAGTGTATAATCTTTACAAAATATCCAATCGATACTGTAAACATTTTGCCCATTTATCTTAATGATGTACCATTACCATATGTTGATAATGTAAAACATCTTGGATGCACGCTACAAACAGATAATTCATTTACTCGTGATATAAATGACTCAAAGAAGTTCGTAGTAAGATTTCGATTCTACTGGAGACTACCGGAGGGATTTTATTTTCACTGGAGGGGTTTCAAAAAATGCTTTTTACAATTTAAAACTTTACGCAGGGTGATTTACATTCCACTGGAGGGATTCAGATGTCCTTCTTGGGGGGTTATAATTCCACTGGAGGGATTCAGATATCCTTCCTGGGAATTTATAATTCCACTGGAGGGATTTAGTTATCCTTCCCAGGGGGTTTATAATTCCACTGGAGGGATTCAGATATCCTTCCTGAGGGTTTATAATTCCACTGGAGGGATTCAGTTATACTTTTAAGGCGTTTATAATTTCACTGGAGGGATTCAGTTATCCTTCCTAGGGGTTTAAAACTCCACTGGAGAGATTCAGATATCCTTCCTGAGGGTTTATAACTCCACTGGAGGGGTTCAGATATCCTTCCAAGGGATTTTATAATTCCACTGGAGGGATTCAGATATCCTTCCTGGGGGGTTATAATTCCACTGGAGGAGATATCTGAATCCCTCCAGTGGAATTATAAATCGCTTGGAAGGATAACTGAATCCCTCCAGTGGAATTATAACCCCCCAGGAAGGACATCTGAATCCCTCCAGTGGAATGTAAATCACCCTGAGTAAAGTTTTGAATTGTAAAAAGCATTTTTTTAACCCCTCCAGTGAAAAAGAATTCCCTCCGGAGGTCTTCAGTGGAGTCAAAATCTTGCTACGAACTTCCGTGACTCGATATAAATCAGAAACGTGGACAGTTTATTGCTAAAATTCATTCCCTGAATCAAGAATTTTACTTTGCAGATTCAACAGTTCTTATTAAATTATATAACCTTTATGCAACGAGTATATATAGATCCAATTTATGGAATTTATTTTCGAATGATGTGTTCAGAATTTATTCGTCTTGGAACACTGCAGTTAGAATTGTGTTTAAATTACCAAACACTTGTCATAGATATTTAATCGAACCATTGTCACAGTCATCTCATTTAATGACCATGTTCTGCAGTAGATTTGTTTCATTCATTTCTTCATTAGAAAATTCGTCAAAAATTTGTATCAGACTTTTGATAAATCTTTTAAAATTTGATCAAAGGTCAGTAACTGCAAAAAATCTGAGAAATATTGCAGACAAATGCAACAAAGATTTGAATATTATCGACAAACGTATTGTAAAAGTTGTATGATATTTCAAGAAATACCCTTGGAAGAAGAATGGAGGATTCCATTTTTAAATGAATTAATTTCTGCAAAAAACAATAAGATTGTTATCAATGGAGTTGACCAAGCTGAGCTTGACGATTTTTTTAATTTTATATGCACGACCTAATTACAGTATGATTTTGTTTCTTGTATTTATATTCATTTTTGATATATTCTCTTATAGTTCTTTTTTCTTCTGTTTAATTATACCAATTATTTAAATTGTGTACGTTTACGAAAATAAATAAATAAATAAATAAATTGTATGACTGTGATTACTCAAAATCTAAATTATTGAGTCCGTTTCTTAGAAGTTTCTAATAAAAGTTAAACTGTCCGTTAAATCAATTTAATTTAAAATTTACAGACACTGCACTGTCCAACACAATATCTAGTGACACTTCATTAAAAGAGTTGCAAGCACGGTTGTTAAGCATTTTAAAAAACGATAAAAAAAAATATTGTGTTCCGTATTTTCTAAAAACGACCGTTTTTTTTTAAGAAAACACGATGGGTTGCAACGAAAAAACCACTCTTTTACAAATTTTAAAAAAGCGTTTTGAACTTTTACAGATAGTTTTTTTTAAAAAGAAAGTTAAAAAAATATTTTCGCTAATGAAAATCTGAGTTTTATGACAATTAATTTCATTTTTTTCCCCGGAAGATAAGTTTATGGATGTTGTCTTAAACGTTTTTTTTACCAAGAGAAATAACCTGTATGTTTTCTGACTTCAAGATTTTCCAACCAAAACGTTTATTTTGTCTTAAAAAGGTCGTTACTACCGTTAACAAAAGGTCGTCAATATTAACGGTCGTTTGCCAAAATTAAAAACGACCTGCCTTTGTTAACGAAATAACGAACTGAAACTTAAAAAAAAAACTTCATGTTTTAATTTATAAAAAAACGTTTCGTTTTTCGTTTTTTCTTTGTAGTTTTTAAAACAAGACAATCGTTTTTCAAATAAGTAAAAACTATCCATTCGGGCATGATTCAAAGCGATACCCTTAAAACATTTATCTGAGTAGAAATTGGATTCATTTCACAATTTCATAGAGTATTTGCCATAAATTCAAATTTTATAATCTCTACATCTTCGCAAACCTGATGGAGTAAACCTTTTATATTTCAGGCTTAGATTATTCAATATAAAACATAATTCATAGTTTGAAATATATAGGGATAAGAAAACGAGAGTTTGTGGCAAGCCTCATTTCCTTTGAATGTCACAAAGCTGCAGCAGAAAACTATTGATTTAAAGAAATGAAGAAATGAGACAAATGATGACTACATATACAATACTATTAAAAGTACATTGTAGGTTTATTTATTAGAATTGTACATGAAAATTTACTGCATGTATACTGTACATTTCAACGTATATAGTTTACATAAGATAACATGATAAATGATATTCTGTATAAACTTTATAAACTATATACTTACTTTACACTGTAAATTAGAACTTGAATATCAGATTCCACAAATTTGAACCAGGGTGTGACAACAAAAATGTTAAACTAATTTTTTCTAAATTTATGAATTGTTACGGAGTTGGACTTTGGACACTTTGAACAAATGGAATTATTTCTGTTTGTGTTTTATTATATAGTCAGACTAATGCAATTGTGGAATACTTAGGTTTAATGATAATGCATTGAACATAAAAACAGTAAATGTGCAGTGTACACAGACCCATATAACTTGATAACTTGATAACTTGATGTTCTACTTTCTTTTAACAAAATGAATTACACGTAATATTTCTTAAATGTCATCTTTCCTTTCCACAATTTTATTAAGATGACAAGCGATATTTTACTGCTTTTGGGAAAACAAATATTTATTTCCATTTTAGATTCATGTTTCATATTTACAGTGTAGAGTTCAATTGAAATATAACCGCGAGAAAATAACAAATGTTTCTCAAAATAAAATAAAAAATAAACTTTAGTAAAAAAAGTGTTCTAGAAAATATATTTTTTAACGAAATCTTAGGTTCTAAATCAAGTTCATTAAGTTCTTAATATGATGTGTTTTTTGATCTTGATGTGAGATAGTTTTACATCGAATTTAATTAAAAGAAATAAAGAAAGATAAAATTGAAAGAAAATAGAAATACAGAAAGATAAAGAGAAAGATGGGATAAAATTGAAAGAAAATATGAATACAGAAAGATAAAGAGAAAGACGGGATAAAATTGAAAGAAAATAGAAATACAGAAAGATAAAGAGAAAGATGGGATAAAATAGAAAGAAAATAGAAATACAATAATGTTGATAGAAGGGAAATCACAAAAGATTAAAGTAAAATTTACGTTATTTTGAAATCTTACATGTCTTCAATAGATAGATAGATAGATACTTATGTAGCCAGAACGAAAGATAAATAGATAGATAATTAGATAATTAGCTAAACAGAAAGATGAAAGAATATGACATATAAATTTCTTCATAGATAGTTAGTTCGGTTAGTTAGATAGAAAGACAAACAGATAGAAAGATAGTTAGATATATAGTAGAAAAATAGATAGATGTAATATTGGATGTTAGATAGCCAGACAGATATATTCAGATATATAGATAGAAATATACATAATTAATTAGATAGTTAGATAAAAAGAAAGAAAAATAGATAGATAGTTACAGAGAAAGAAAAATTAGATTAACAGTTAGAAAGATAGAAGTTAGATAGATAGTTACAGAGAAAGATAGATAGATAAATAAATAGTTAGACAGATAGTTAGATAGAGAGATATAGTTAGAGAGAAAGATAGATAGGTATATATAGATAGATGTTTATATAGTTAGATAGATAGAAGATAGATAACAGATAGATAGATACATAGATAGATACATAGATAGATAGATAGATAAATAGATAAATATATAGATGGATAGCTAGAAAGATAGATATCTAGTTAGTTAGAAAGAAAGATAGTTATATCGTTAAATGGATAAATATATAGATAGATAGATAGATAGTTAGATAGATAGAAGAAAGATATTTAAGACTAATGAATCCCTATGAACTAATGCTTCTATTCACCATGCATTCATTAAGGTTTAGAAATATATTAAAATAATTGAAAAATTACTATTATTAATATTATTTAAACACCACAGGTATTATTTTAGGTTTATTATATTTTATTATAGATTTACCCTCTTACAGGGCTATACATTTTTACCCCCCGTCCCTTTTTTGTTACAATAGGGGGGGGGGGAGATGTTTTCAATGTTTGGGTGAAGTTACAAATAAAATA